TTTGAGAAAGCTCAACTTCCATTCTTTCTTTACAATTATGATTGAGAGGAAAAAGTCAAAGCTAGAAATCATGGGGGGTGGGAGGTGGGGTGGAACTTGACAGATTTGTTTCTCTAAAGATTTAGGAAGACTTCGACTAGTTCTCTAGCTTTTCTTCCTTGCCTGATCACTGAAAAAAGTCTAGAACTAGAGAAATGGTTCAAGTATTACCTTGTCACTCCTAGGGGCAAAGTTACCCTGCTTCCTCCCTGATCACAGTGTTCCATTATATATGCTGGACTTCTATAGATTATATCTGATTAGACCAAGAAACCCGCCCAGAACTCAAAATGTTGTCAACACAGGTGGTGGGGGTTAACAAAACTTCAGAGGAATATTTAGTTTAGAGTAAATTTAGAGTAAATGGGGTTTGTATTAGGATACTTGCTTCCATGGAACAAAACAGTTTTAATGATGGAACTTCTAATTCTTCCAGCTGGCTAGGCATCCATTTTTAGTTTATGTGTCTAAGAAACACCTGGGGAAGAAGGCCTTTTTTTTTCCCCCCTTTCTCAAGGGAGGAAAGATAGGGGGCTATCACAGCAATCATGCTGTAGGGGCTCAGGTTACTGTTAAATTTCTTTGTTAAGTCCCTGAGTCTTTAAAACCATTTTATAAGTTGGGCAGGATGATGCTGATGCAACATCTATAAATGTAAGTAAGCCCTTTTGATATAATACAGTGTATCTTAAAAGTCCAAATCAAAGTCTTTAAAATGGAACATTGGAGCAGATATCCTGCAAGTAAGAGTTCAAACAAATTTTTCTGCACTTAGTTGCTACATACCTGTATTATGTATCTCCTCTGCAATGTACATGCCTTCCCGATAAGTCAATCCACCCACAACAGGAGTCCCTGTTGCTGGAGCCAGCGATGGGTCAAAAGCATCAATATCAAAGCTTAGATGAATTGGTCTTTGTTTTCTAGACAGAAATGGGAAGCATTTTATCATTTAGTCATACTTTGATCTGCATCTGTCAAGTAGTTCTGTAGCTTCCTGTTGCATCCAGGAATTTGATCTCCTGAACCTACAGGTTTTGAAAGGTTTCCTTTTCGTGGAAGTTATTGTAGGTATCTATTTTTAGACTTTAAGGATGTAAACCGCCTTAAGATAATCTTGACTTAGTCTGTATGCCTGGAACAGAAAAGATGTACTATCTTACAGAAGAACCTAATGCTATTGAAACTGTCCACAAAAAGAATTTTTTACTTCATTGGATATGTGACCCTGATGAGCTATCCAGCCCCCTGATGTAAATTAAATTAGGTTAATCTGGATTAAGTTTCTGTTGCTCTCTAACCAGGCACAATAGCATGATTTGACTCAGACCTTAAACTTACCCCACCATTATCTTATTACTCACTCCTTTTCAAGTTCAAGCATCAGTTGATCCCAACTATCTGTCTAATGGCTGAAATTGAAATGAGAGGATGATGTATATGAATTGCTCAAATTTCCTTTTTTGTGACGTAGCACGATACTAGATGGCAACCCACTTAATAGTGAAGATCTAGTATCAGGGGAAAAGGCTGCTTTGGAAATCTTGAATCTGATTCCAAGTACCTTTCTAGAATCCTTCCTCAAGCTTCAAAAAACTGTCAGTGAAACTGCTTTCAGGGAAATTTATGGTGATTCTGGCAAAGCAATAGTTAGAATGTCTACCTATTACATTTTTTTTTTAAATAACTACCAAGCTGTAGAACTGTTACATGAGTATAAATTCTATGTTGGGCAGACATAGAATTCTAGTCTTACAGGTCTTACTTTCTCTTATACTTGAAGCAGCCTCTAATACTAGATAGAAATGAACTGACATCCCAACAGATTGAAGATTGGACTACAATGTACAACTCCCTGCACCATTACCCACTGGGGCATAAGTATCCAAACATTTCTCCATTATAGTTGCTTACTTGCTAATCAGTTGATCAAATGTTTGTTCCATGACCTTCTGGATTCCAAGGTGGTCAATGTCCCTCATTGAAAAGTATAAGATGTCATATTTTTTAAGAATAAAGCTGGTGAGGCAAAGAAAAGGAATCCTGAGTTAATGATTTGGTTTTAACTCATGCATATTCAGGGTTCCAAAGTAGCTATTCATTCCCAATATAGTTCATATTTAAAGATGACAAAATATACCACAGCAACTTCCCAAATGGAAGACAATCATTAACGGAAGTTGACCAACCTTGTAAAGAAACAGCCATTTGTTGTAAGTTTTGAGGGAAACCCATGTCAAGTTGAATTACTTTGATTCCTGTCACATTTGTCTTTTTGTACATCCTTGTTTGGAGGGAGGGAAAGCTAGTTAGCCAAGTGATTCAGCAGGATGGATTAGAAAAAACACTTAAGATTTAGAACCTCAAAGAACTAGAATGAGTCTGTTCTGGATAATGGCTGTGTGACCAGGGTGCTTGGGTTCCCCAGCTAAAATGGGACTAATTTTTAGACTGCCCACCTCATAGGGTTGTTGTGAAGAAAATTATTTATAACATAAAAACATTTAAGAGAGAAATGTGAATTAAAATTTGTAGTAATAGTAGAGCACTCAAAAACCCACCAGTCAGGAAGAATTTTTGGTTGGCCTAGAAAGTCTACAAGCATAGGCTGAGGTGAATGAGTTTGATCTAGAACCCCCAGGAAGGGCAGTTGAATATGTTCTTGAAGGGAAGAGAACATGAGGTTCTGACCCAGAAACAACTGGGATGGGTCAGGCCAGCTTTAGTTAAGAACCGAGATGGGAAGCTTAGGTGCTACTTAGTCTAGTATGGGATAGTTAAGGAAAAAAGAAAGAAAAAGAAAATACCCTTCTAATTACCCCACTCTGGTATTACATTATTTTCATTTTTGCATATGCTCTTTTCCTTTACAGAAAGCTTTAGAAAACACACATGTGGTCAAGAGCAGAAGTGTCAGGCTCTTAGAGCACCAGATAAAAATCTGGAAATGTTTAACAAAATAAATTAGAATATAGTACAACATAAGTAACGTTAATTTGGGCTTTTTTAGGTCAATATGTGACTTGTGGAGGTAGAACATAGAAGGGGAAGAAGGGAGTGGATTCTAAGAAGGCACCAAGAACACCAGCTTCTTGGCAGTAGTGAGGAAATTAGGGTTTGGGTGAGATCTCTGAACTGAAAGAACAAAGCTCAAAACAAGCAAGGTCCAGAAGGCCCAGAACATCAAGAGCAGAAGGCACAGTCCCCTTGGATCATCTCCAAAAGGAGGAGCTGGGGCCTGGGACACTGTCAGAGGTCACATAAGGCTTAATGGCTGTGACAATCATTTACAAATCTTACTGTTCAGCAGGATCCACATCTCTTAGGCCAATATATACGATATCTGGGGATGAGAGACAGGGCTTGAGCCAAGAGAATCCTGGGAGTGATGGCACCTAAGTGAAAAAGGAAAGGGAAGGAAAAAAAAAAACCAAAACTTAAGCTGCTTACTCTGAGAACCCTCCTAATGCTAAGCATCACTTTTTCCTCCATGATCTTTCCATTTCAGAATAGATCTGTCAGTCAATTGGTAGTGAAAATGGGGCCAAGAGCTTCAAATAATTTCCAGAACCCTGTCATATGCTTAATGATACAGTTCTACCTTTAATAAACTCACAGGGAAAAAGCTGGATTGGAGAGGGGGGTTGGGGGGGCGGAGAAGAGTCCAGTGCAATAGCTAAGAATTCTTTACTGGGGTAGGCTGTTAACAAAATTCCTGTGGCAGCCTGAAAACCCTTAGTCACTCCCACTGAAAGTCAGGAAATTTCCCAGTCTTGAAGAGAATCACAAAGATGGAAATTTACTTTGAGCAGGACTGTAAGAGGTAGCTCTGTTGACTCAAAACATTCTGATTGGAATCATACCTATAGTTTTAAAAACAGGAAAATAATTTCATTTCTACTGCATTCATGGGACAGCTTTTGCTATCTACTTTTTACCCCTATCGTTCAATGAATGTGAGAAACAGATCGGGACACGCTGACCTGGAAAAATACTTCAAAGGGCAGCCACTTGCTGTAAATAGTTGCTAAAAACAGCAGTATAGTTTTCCAAAAGGGAATAAGATATTCCTTCGATTGGAGGGTAGCCTCAGTTTTTCATTAACTAATCTAAATAGCATAAATACTGCTGATTAAGTCCTTCTCTGCTGCTTTGCATGTTACAGAACTGTTTACAGATGAGATCCTAGTGAAGTATAACTCATGCTGTTTCCAGGTGCTGATGGCAAAAGCTCAAGCCTTCCATAATGAGCAGCCCTTGTATTTTACTGTTTTGCCATTTGTCCTAATTTGGCTCCTTTCTAAGAGAAAGGATGAGCTAGAATTTTAACATTACTTTTAATAAACACCTAAGCTATTCAAAGAGGGGGCAAAAAAGGTACCTCCTGCACCAAAAGAGTAGTAAAGGTAGAACTGGTAATGGGGCCAGGGGTGATGGTGATGAGGTCTGTCCTTTATACAAAATCTATATTATAGTACAGTTCAGAAGGCAGCGCACACCCAACACTGCAATGAGTATAACGTTTGATTTCTACATTGCCAGCAGAAAGGCTAGGTTCCAACTTCCCTATTCACAAAGCTGCATCCTTAAGGGAAGTGGTTCTTCAGTAACAGAAAGGCTTGTAGTGATTGTGGGAGCAACGTTATTTCCTTCCCTGCTTAGGATGGGAAACATCTCCAACACATCACTCATCCCATCTTGCACAACTACCTCCCAAAACATGGATAATTAGTACTGTGTTTACCTATTTGAGTCAACATTCAACATTCTGGTAACCAGTTCAATCAACTGACCTTGTCCTGCAGTTCTCTGAGAAGGAAGGAGACTGGCTGTCCATGCAGACTCCCAGACAAAGTGGTAAGGGGTGTGTTGATGTCAGCATGAGCGTCAACCCAGATAACACATAAATCTGGGCAGTGCTGGACATGGCCACTAATGGAACCAATTGCCAAACTGCAAAGAAGAACTGTAGTAAACATCGTAATAAAGTACCACTAATTCTCACATTCTGTACTTCAGACAAAAATTAAAAACTGAGGTTAGGTTTGGATAATGCAGATCAAGTGATGAAAAGGAGTACTGCAGTGACTGGCATGGGGATAGTGATGCACCAGAACCCCTGAACAGGTCAAGGGTATATCACACGGGCTCACGTTAAGAGCAATACAGTCTGGTGCAGTGAAGTAAGTGGGTCCAAGAAAACAGTACATACAATGACTACAACAATGGAAATGGAAAGACTACAAGGCAATCAGAAGTGAATGTTGCAGATTTATAAAGGGACAAGCTTGGCTACAAAGAGGAGACATGAGAAGCCACCTCACCGTACTTCCTTTGCAGAGGTAGGAGGTCCACAGTTGTGTATATACTACATAAATTTTTAGACTTTCTATGTATTGATTGGTTTTGCTAATTTTTTTTTCCCCTTTAAAGAATATTTCTTGTCATATGAGACGATTCTAGGAGAGGGAAGGATAATGGAGAAATTCTGATAATTAAAAAAAAAAAATCAATTTTTTTTTTTTATAAGTGATAGAGGTGTTCACTCATTTCATAACTAAGTAAAAATGTGTGTTTATGTGTATGTATGTGTATATACAAACTCCAGGGAGTCATATAACACTTTGCTGGGTGCCTTAAACAGTAGGTTCAAAGTATCAAACATTTGTTAATTTAGGAAATTCATAAATGTGAAGCCTATAGGCTTCTTAAATGAGATAAAAATAAACACCCCAGACCTTCCTAGAAGTTCAGAAGGAGCCAAAGAAAGGTTTTGCTTATTTTATTTTGCTTATATTTATTTTACTTAATTTAAAAAAAAATTACTTTTTTTTAAAAAGGCACCAAAATTTTTCTTAAAAAAAAAAAGAAAGAAAGAAAAAGAAACCAAAGATGACAAAAATTGGCACTCTTGTTATTTCTAAGGCCATTGACTTTTTTAGGACTAATTTAAAAAACCTTATTTTGTGACATTTTACATTGGATTTACATGTTATCCAGATACCTAAAGTATTTCCCCCATTCCTATTACTTTCAGTGTTTGACTCCTGGATATAATGAAAACCCTGGAAAAGTGACCTAATCCACCAAACCTGGAAAAAAGAGAAAACAATGCACTAGTAGTTGGGTCAGTCTGTAGGATCAGAATCAGCAAGATTCATCATTGTTAAGCCCAGTGATGAGTAAACTGTATGAGCTCAAAGAACTGCAGGTAAAGCAACCTTTTTATCTCAACCTTTCCCTTTTCCCTAGCTTAGCACATTTTCTTGTCCAGAGCAGGCTGTGAATACACATTGGTTGAATTTAAAGCGTTTTATAATAGGACACCAGATCTCTCATTTATAATAAATGATATATAAAAATATACATAACAAAGCTAAATGTCAGCCAAGCTTGTGAACTGGAATGAACAATCTTGGTTTGGGAGGATCTGATGATGAAGTATGTCCCTCAGTATACAGGTGTGTGAATTGTAAACATTTGATAGATAGGGGAGTTGGACTGGTTGGCCAAGATATTTTGTGCACTGTAAAAAGTGATGTAAAGAATAAAGAGAATATAAGATGAGTGAAGGGATACAAAGTAAGCATAACCAGAACAATTTACAAAATAACTCCAGTAATGTGAAGGGAAAACAGCCTTGAGAGTAGACCAATGGTGAAATATTCATCCAACCTCAGGACAGAAGTGCTTATTTTCAGACATGACAAATGTGTCAAATGTGTCAAACTTCTTTTCTGGATGATATTTGTTACCAGGCAAAAGTCTATTTCCTAGGGTGTATGTGGAAATCTGTGGTTAATTGATACTGATAGAAACAGAGCCTTGTAGGAAGTTTTTTGGTAAAAGGATGGTTCAGTGGACAGGCAGGGAATATTAAATGGGAAGTGGGGGTGGTAGTGTCAAAGCAAAAGTTAACAAAATTTAAGGTGGGGAGGGGAACACCAGGCCCCTCTTCCTTACCTCTCTCCCCATCAAACCTTTTTTTTTTTACCTGCTAACAAGTTAGCAATTTGAGATTCACCTTATCTTTTTTTTGTTATTTTAATTAATTTAGTTTTAGTTTTCAACATTCACTTCCACAAGATTTTGAGTTCCAAATTCTCCCCATCTCACCCCTCCCCTCCACCACCCCAAAACGTCGTGCATTCTGAATACCCCTTCCCCTAATCTGCCCTCCCTTCTTTCACCCCCTCCTTCTGTTATCCCCTTCCCCTTCTATTTTCCTGTAGGGCAGGATAAATTTCTGTACCCCACTGCCTGCATATCGTATTTCCCAGTTGCATGAGATTCACCTTATCTTTTGTTCCCCCCCCAACTCCCCTAGCTTGCCTGGGATAGGTGACAAATGGAGAATGTTAAAGAATCCACGAAGTAGTGTTAATGACCATTGCAGTAAAAGTAGCTAGCAGAAGAACAGAATAAAAGCACAGGGTAGAGGTTATCTACAGATTGAAGCTGATTGATTGGGAGTTGATTGAAAAGACTGGAAGAACCGCCCACTGGATACAGCACTGAGCTGTGAGGTAGGATTCTTGACTTCTAGTTGCTTCCCCACTGCCTTGATGTCCTGTGTTTGGATTTTCCAGTTAGAAATTTGACAAATTCCATTAACTTCAACAAGCACTTTAAGCATTCACCATACTCCAGCCTACTGGCCCCTCTTTCTCTTTTGAGAAGCCTACATATGTTCTTTCAGGCTCCAATCCAGACATTTCTTCATTTTCGAAATCGCTACTTAGGAATAAATACATCCTACAAGATTCCTTGAACCAAATCCCACATCTTTCATCCCTCACTGCCAAGCACTGTCCTTAGCAAGTGGGTGCACAGTAAATAGTAGCTAATTGATGAATAAGAATACTAACAATCAGCCCCCTCAAAGGCCTGAACTGTATGTAGACTGACCTTCAAAACTGTTAGCAGAAACACCAATTATGTATGACTGACAGTTGCACTTAACTTCTCCCCAGTGTAAAAGCACACTCACTAAGATATCAGTTATGTTATCAAACATTATTATTACAATGTTCTAAGACCTAGTTAATCTTCCTTAATAGAGGATTTGATCAATTCTCAAGTTTCCTCATCCCCAGTCTAAAATGGGGAGATCCCAGGGCCTTGTAGCCCTAAGATTCTACGACTTCACTTATAAAGTACTTTTATCTTTATACACTTAGAGCATTAAAGATTATAAAGTATATAAATTGTAAGGACACATTATCTCATTTGATCTCCACAACAATTCAGTGAGGCAGTTTATTCCTTATAAGAAAGCCAACTAGTAACTTACCCAAAGTCACATGTATGGATATGCAGGTTAAGCTACCTGACTAAGGTGACACCCCTACACCCCACTTACCTGTGGTCTCCTCCCATAGTGAGGCACTGGTGACCAGAAGACACAGCCCTGCTAACCGCCTCTGCCAGCTCCTGGTTGGCAAGGCCCACCGAGCGAGGGTTCACAATCAGATTGTTGTAGAGCTCATCATTGGTCACAGGGGTGAAACGCAGATCTCCCACGTCATTTACCCGGCAACCTTAATCCAAACAGAGGAAGGAAAGAAAGAAGGGTAATTGTGCATTCTCTACTGGCACTTCTCAAAGTTAGGGTCAGGAACAAAGAAGAACAAAAAAAATTGCTATTCCTGTATTGTATTGCATTTCCAGAGGGTTTTTTTTTCCCCACCCACAGAACTACAAAGGAACTGAAAGATCTGGCTCTACCATGACCTAATTAAATGGCCTGAGGCTCAGTTTCCTCATCTGTAAAATGAGGAAGATGTACTAGATCTTTAAGGTCCCTCCTAGATCCAAGTCCTGTGATCTCTATCTCCTAGAAGCTAAAGCAAGTTTCTAAACAGGAGAATGCTACTTCTAAATAGTGTTTCAAGATTTAATCTGACAAGGTTGACAGTGTACTTTATGAAATGTTTATCTTTTAGAGAGAATATATTTTATGTTCTATGTATTTCTTTTTCAAGGAAATCAAAGGGAGATCAAAGATCATTTCAATCCTTAGGAGTGATAATGAAAGGATCAAATATTGCTGAGATAATGGGAGTATTTACATTTATACACCCTCCTTTTAACCAATAAAGCTGGTTCCTTTATCTTTCAAAGTATTTCAAAGATCACCTTACATCTCACCTGCAAATTCCGACATGAGTCTACCTTCCCTTCCTTTAAAGGGACACTTATACATGTTAATCACTCCAGCTTCCCTCTACTTCATACCACAATCTTAGGTGCAAAACCAACAAGCTTTCAGTGTGAAAGCTTGCAGCATAGTGTTTGCAAATAACGAATATGGATTTCTCTGTAGAGAGAAGGCAACTTCTTGACACAAATATTAGCAATTGACTGCAGTAGCATTTTTCAAATTTTAAGTATGTAAAACCCATTTTCTAGACTCGCTCCTTTTCCTCCCAAAAAAGAGCCTGAATCTCCCAGTCATGATTAAGATCCTATAACCTATGTACATTCAAAGGAAGAAATGGCCCCCTGATATAAAGGTTGGGGATATGACCCTATTAGCTGTTGGGGCTGAAAAGGACTTTGTCCAGTGATCTGTTTATTAAGTTTCTACTGTGAGCTGCATACCAGGAGAACTGAAGTATCGTCCCCACCTTTGTGGCTTTAAACTAGTAGGAGGATAAGACAAATGTGTAACTATAAGACACAATGATGCATTAAGTAAGTGCATTAGCAAGTTAAAAACAAGTTATGTCAATGAATTTAAGGGAAAAGAATGCTGCCTGGAGGAGGTAGCATCTAAATTGGGCTTAAAAGGATGGGTGTAAATTAAACAGAAAAAGGGAACAAAGGGAGAAAGAACTTGACAGAGTTGGAGTAAAGGAAGAGAAGGGGGTGGAGCCAAGATGGTGGAGCAAAAGCAGCTACTTGCTTGAGCTCTCATCCAAACCCCTCCAAATACCTATAAAAAATGGCTCTAAACAAACTCTAAAGCAGCAGAACCCACAAAAAGACAAAGTGAAACAAATCTCCAGCCCGAGACAGCCTGGATGGTTGATTGGAAAGGTCTGTTGCGCTGGACTGGGAGAGGAATGCAGTTCGGCATGGACGTGCAGGCCTCAGCGAACCTGGAACAGGCCTCAGAGGACTGAATCACGGGCAGCTGTGGTGGTTTCTAGACTTCTCAACCCACAAACGCCAAAGACAACTTAGAAGGGGTCAGTGGGAAAAGCCTGTGTCTGCTGTGAGAGAGAGAAGTGTGGTCCCAGTCCCCAGTCCCTGAGCACGGCCTTGGGGTGGTGGCTGCTTCCAGCCCACAGACTGAGGGGGAATTGAGTGGCTGATCAGAAGGGGATTGCAGGGATCTCTCTGCTGATGCAGGATTCTCTGACTTTGCCTGTGCTTGGATCTGGGTCACAGCTCTGGGCGGTGATCCTGGGGCGAGGAGGAGCGCTGGCATGGTGGAGCTTGTAGTGATAGTGGAGAGAAAATCCTCTTCACAGTTCCAAGACAGAAAAGAGTGCTTGTGGTCACTCATAGACCAGAGCACAGGCCAGGAAAGGAGTATCAACACCTCGCCCTTGATCATAGCACCTTGGAAGAACTGAAAATTTACAGGTCCCTAGAAGTATCTCTGAAAACAGCTGCACAAAACCCCCGAAGCTTGGGACAGTACATTCTCCACACTGGAAGCAGACCCCTACCTTAACAAAGAGTTTATAACTCAAATAATTGGCTGGGATTGTGAGCAAGCAGCACAAAAAGAGTCAGACCATAGAATCTTACTTTGATGACAAAGAAGATCAAAACATACAATCAGAAGAAGATAACAAAGTCAAAGCTCCTACATCCAAAGCCTCCAAGAAAAATATGAATTGGTCCCAGGCCATGGAAGAGCTCAAAAAGGATTTTGAGAAGCAAGTAAGAGAAGTAGAAGAAAAACGGAGAGTGATGCTAAAGGAGATCCAAAAAAATACTGAAGACAATAACACTTAAAAAATAGCCTAACCCAAATGGCAAAAAAGATCCAAAAAGCCAACGAGGAGAAGAATGCCCTAAAAAGCAAAATTGGACAAGTGGAAAAGGAAGTCCAAAGCTTACTGAAGAAAATACTTACTTAAAAATTAGAATAGAGCAATTGGAAGCTAGTGACTTTGAGAAATCAAGACACTGTAAAACAAATCCAAAAGAATGAAAAAATAGCAGAGAATGTGAAATATCTCATTGGAAAAACAACTGACCTGGAAAATAGATCCAGGAGAATTTAAAAATTAATGGACTATCTGAAAGCCATGATCAAAAAAAGAACCTAGACATCATCTTTCAACAAATTATCACGGAAAACTGCCCTGATATTTTAGAACCAGAGGACAAAACAGAAATTGAAAGAATTCACTGATCACCTCCTGAAAAAGATCCCCAAAGGAAAACTCCTAGGAATACTGTAGCCAAATTCAGAGCTCCCAGGTCAAGGAGAAAATATTGCAAACAGCCAGAAAGAAACAATTCAAGTACTGTGGAAACACAATCAGGATAACATAAGATTTAGCAGCTTCTACAATTAAGGGACTGCAGGGCAAAGGAGACAGGATTACAACCAAGAATCACCTACCCAGGCAAAACTGAGTATAATCCTTCAGGGGAAAAAAATGGTCATTCCATGAAATAGGGTACTTTCAAGCATTCTTGATGAAAAGACCAGAGCTGAATAGACAGTGACTTTCAGATACAAGACTCAAGTGAAACGTGTAGAGGTAAACAGGAAAGAGAAGTCATAAGAGACTTACTAAGGTCGAACTGTTTACATTCCTGCATGGAAAGATGATATTTGTAACTCATGAGACCTTTGTCAGTATTAGGGTAGTTGAAGGGTAAAAATTGTATTATTTATGTGTGTGTGTGTGTGTGTGTATGTATGTATATATGTGTGTATATATGTATATATATGTATATGTGTGTATATATATATGTATATATAGATAGAGGGCACAGGGCGAGTTGAAGATGAAGGGGTAATATCTGGAAAATAAAATTAAGGGGTGAAAGGATTATACTGGGAGAAGGAGAAAGGGAGAGGTAGAATACGGTAAATTATCTCACATAAAACAGACAAGAAAAGGCTTTTATAGTGGAGGGGAAATGGGAAGATGAGAGGAAGGAGTGAATCTTATTCTTATCAGATTTGGCTTAAGGAGGGAATAACATACACACTCAATTGGGTATGGAAATCTATCTTACCCTACAGGAAAACAGGAGGGGAAGGGGACAAGAGAGCAGGGGGATGATAGAGGGGAGGGCAGACTGGGGGAGGGGGTAATCAGGAGCAAACACTTCGGAGGAGGGACAGGATCAAAAGAGAGAATAGAATGGGGGGGCAGGATAGGATGAAGGAAAACATACTTAGTTTTTCACAACATGACTACTATTGAAGTGTTTTACATGACTACACACATGTAACCTGTATCGAGTTGCTTACCTTTTGAAAGAGGGTGGATGAGAAGAGAAGAAGAGAAAATTTGGAACCCAAAGTTTTAAAAACATGTTAAAAAAAAATTGTTTTCACACGCAACTGGGAAATAAGAAATACAGGAAATAGGGTATAGAAACCTATCCTGCCCTATAGAAAAATAGAAGGGGAAGGGGATAAGAGAATAGGGGAGTGAGATAGAAGGGAGGGCAGATTAGGGGAAGGGGTATACAGAATGCATGCCATCTTGGGGTGGGGGGAGGGATGGGATGGGGAGAAAATTTGGAACTCAAAATCTTGTGGAAGTGAATGTTGAAAACTAAAAATAAATAGTTTAAGTCAAATCTCAAAAAAACAAAAAAAAGAAAAAGAAAATTATAAAGATCAAACAGGATTCAAATAAAGAGATAAGAGAACACACACATACAAAAAAAAAAAGGAAGAGAAGAGACTTGTCTAATTTGGTTGAGGTGCAGAGGATATGGGGAAGAGTAATAGGTAGGATGGGGAAGGCAGGCAGTAAAGATGCTGAATGCCAGAATAAGGAGCTTGAATTTTTAATCAAGGAAGCAAGAGGGAGCCACTGAACACTTTGTTTTGTTTTGTTTTTTTTCCCCACTTGAGGCCTGATATAATCACATGGCACAAGGGAAATTATTCTGGCAGTAGTATGAAAAGGATAGAGAAGAGAACGAAGGTGTTAGGACCAGCTGGGAGACTACTGCAATAGTGCAGGTAGGTGGTAATAAGCATTGAAATATAGAAGTAGGAATAAAGAGAAAGGGATTAATAGCTGTTCTACACACAGAATTGGTAGAACTTAGTAACTAATCAGATTTGTTGTTTAGTTGTTTTCAGTAGTGTCTAATTCTTCATGACTCCATTTAGGTTTTTTTGTTTTGGGCAAAGATACTAGGGTGGTTTGCCATTTTCTTATTCAGCTCATTTTACAGATGAGGAAACTGAGGCAAACAGAGTTAAGTGACTTGCTCAAGGTCACACAGCTAGTATTTGAGGCCATATTTGAACTCTGGTATTCTTGACTCCAGGCCTAGTGCTCTGTCTGCTTCTAGACCTGATTGGAGAGGAGAGGTTAAAGAGGATTACAAGGAATACTATCGTTCCATAAGAAATGATGGGCAGGTGAACTTCACAAAAACCTGGACTTAACATGAACTGATGCTGAGTGAAGTGAGCAGAACCAGAAGAACATTGTACACAGTAATAGCAACATTGTGTGTTGACCAACTATTAACATTAATAGACTTAGCTCTTCCGAGCAATGCAAATCTAAGACAATTCTAAAAAAAACTCATGATGGAAAATGCTATCCACATCCAGAGAAAGAACAATGGAGTCAAACAAAGAACAAATTGAAATCAAAGCATACTATTTTTTCCTCTTTTTTTCCCCCCGTTTCATGGTTTTTCCCTTTTGTTCTGATTCTTCTTTCACAACATGACTAATGTGGAAATGTTGGTTTTGAGGTTTAGGTGTGCTGGGACCCCAAAATATCGACAGCAAATGACACAGGTCCTGCTTGAATGAATTTAACCCAAGCCTTCTTTCAGCCAAAGACAAGGTTTATTAAAGGCCCACCCTTATTGGCCAGACTCTCAAAGAATCTAAGCATTTGTATCACTAATGCAAATGGGCCAGATTTTAAAGAATCTGAGCCTTGGCTAAATTATAAGAATCTGAGCATCTTAATGGAGACGAGATGGACCTTATATACAGAAAGACTGTGGGAGGGATCTAGGAGTAGCCAAGTAGTTTGGGGTGACAAGGAGGGGTCAAGGGAGGATCTTGATAGGAGTGACTGGGAGGGGAGAACGGGGTCTAGATAGGATCAAGGGTGGGAAATGGGGTGTGGGCATTGGGAGGTAACAGACAATAGAGGGCTGGGTTAGGTTAAGGGAGAAATTGGTAACAGAGAATTGGTGCTGGGTGTAGGTGATAAGCAAAGGCCAGTTGATAGGATTATAATCCTCAGGGGAACACTAGAGACTTCCTTGATTAAGTGGGAGTTGAAGGAGAGTCTGTAGACAAATGGGACCCAAATTCTTTTTGGTAGGGGGCAAAGGTCTTGGCTTGGGCCCGTGCCTATCAGAAATACGGTTAATATGATTGTATATCTGTAGCCTATAGCAGATTGCATGCCGTTTTGGAGAGGGGGCAAAATTTAGGACTCAAAATCTTATAAGAGTCAATGCTGAAAACTAAAATAAAGATTAAAAAAAAAAAGGATTACAGCCAAACTGCATAATCCCAAAATCCTAAACATAGGAGATTGGGTGGATGGTGTTTCAGTAGTGAAGTCAGAAAGAGAACCAGGTTTAAAGAGAAAGATAAGCTCACAATTTTGGACTTACTGAAGTCCTTGAGGGAAGTCATTCTATCCATTATATACTGTTAGTAGTTAAACATGTAGGCCTGGAGCTCAGAAGAGAAGTCAGGAGTAAAGATAAAGATTTCAAAGTGGTCTGCATAGAGGTGGCATTTAATTTCATAGGAGTGATTGAGAAGGAGAAAACTGAGGCTGTTGAAAGTAAAATGGGTTGGAAACTGGGCATGTAGGGGAAGATAGGTTCAAGATAAATTCTAGACATTAGGCCTGAAGCAGCCAGAGGAAGAGTTGCTCTCCACTGTGGTGATAGGCTGGTCATGGGTTATCTAAGAAATCTAGGTTTTCAATAAGTGTGGTAGCTTTAGGATACACAGAAGTTATTCAGGCCAAAGGCACAGGACAAGCCCAGTTACTGAATTTAAGAGGACTGCTATTTCCCTCTCTACTTGCTCCATCTCCAGTTACAATGGACAACAAGATGCTGGCAGCCTTATAACTTCTAACACCCAACTCTGATCTTTTAGACCAACTAGAAGTTACTTTTGACCTTGATGAAAAGTAGCTGGGGACAAAAATACTTCAGAGGGAAAGAAATCAACATTCTCATTCACCCTGGTAATTCTCTAATTTTCAGAATCAATAAAAATCCAGACAAGAACCAATGATGAGCTTAAACTATATTAAATAATTAACTTTGAAATATCCTTTGTTTGAGGAATCAATGAGAATAAAGTATCAAAAGCATTTTTTTTTCTTAAATGGTTGCACTACTGATTTACTTTAAGGTAATACTGTTGCTTTCAAATTTTCAGTCACTACCAAGTACCTCAGTAAATTAAGAAAAGCATATTTTTCAGAGTAGCAAACAAGGAATTGAGTACAGGATTGAAAGCCATTTAATAGTCAACTTGTCGAGAAAAATATTTGGAGAAAGTGGGCCCAGTTTGGGGCAGAGGGACGTAGTCTGTGGCATTAGTTTATAGCTTGACAACAATGATAAACCCAGTGAGTCTTGGAGAAAACAAAAAAACTAAGTGGGTATAGAAGGAAAGTGAACCAGGACACATGGCTCCCAATTCCCTCTTTCCACTTCAAATAATGATACTTCTGTCTATCCTAAGATATTAGGTTTTGGTTACCTTGGTAAAAGGGCAGGGCAGGCAGAATGCATAGTTGTCCATTTCCTTTTCTGGCTCCCCAAATAAAATAAGCATGCCAGGCTGAGATTCCTCCAGGAATCATATACCAACCATTATCTAATGGGTCCCCTCAGGACTTCTAATCCAAATTCACTCCTATTCACCGACTCCTACATCTTACCTAAGCATCTTTCCTCAAAAGAGGGGAAAAGGCCTAATAAACATGCTTATTTCCTTAGATTAATAGGTAAGGTTGATCATCCATTCCAAGTGTTTCTTGGGATTACATATTCCAATGGCGCTCTCTAAAATTACCCCTTTTTACCCATCTTTTAAGATTGAATGGATCACCAGCAGAACTCCTATTCCTAATTTTTAAGAAACACAAACAAGGATCCCAGTTGAATCTATCCACATTTATCAAGTACCTTCTACTGAGTCAGACTTTGTGCTAAGGGGAAACAAAAAGAGGCAAAAGGCAGTCCTTGCCTTCAAGGAGTTTACGATCTATTATGGGAGACTACATGCAAATATACACAAAACAGGCTACATTCAAGATAAGCAGGTAATAATTAACAGAGGGAAGGCACTAGAATTAAGAGGAGTTGGGAAAAGTTTCCAGTAAAAGATGGGGAAGCTATGGAGACCAGTAGGCCTAGCAAAGGCAGGACAGCATTCAGAGCCAAGAGATGGAGGTCTTGTTTGTGGAACAGCCAGGCCAGTCACTGGATCTTACCCATCAGAAAGTCAGGTATAAGACTGGAAAGGGCTAGGTCATGGAGGGTTTTGAACTCCCCACAGAGCATTTTGTACTTGATCCTGGAGGCAATAGGGAACTACTGAAGGTTATTGAGGGGGTGGGGGGGGTAGTGTGACTTGGTAGGACCTATGCTTTAGGAAAATTGTTTTAGTGGCCGAATAAAAGCTGAATTGGAGTGGGGAGAAACTTGAGGCAGGGAGACCCACCCAGGAGCCTAGTGCAGTTACATTTGATGAGGATTTAAAAAAAAAAAAAAAGGCTCCCCTTAGTGCTAGTTAGGCATTTAAAAGTTACAGAACTGCAACATTTCCAGTTGGCAAATCTATAGCTAATTAAATAAAACTGATTGATTGTGTTTAACTGCCCTAGAAAACTGCAAAAAACCCTATCAAAGTTGCAGTTGAAATAACTGATGAGCAACAAGGCTGAAATGTTAAGAGTAGGTCTAAACTAGGAAAATACTGTGTTAATCCAAATTACTCACAAAATTGGTTGAACTTTCCTTTTCACCCCAGACAATTTGAATTAGTTTAATAAATACCCTCTGAAAGAGACAGTGTATCAGGGGATTTTTATAAATGCTAAAGTAATTTGCTGCCACTAATAAAACAAAGGAGTATATATTCTATGTAGGAATGTAACACTCCTTTAAAATGTATCCATTTCAGAGCCAAGTGGTTTAAAGTGCTCAGAAACTTGTTACTGGCCAGAATAAGCCAGGCCTAACAAATAAATAAATAAGGTCACATGAACTAGGCATATTCATATTCTTTTCCCAGGAAAAACTCCCTAGAGCCTAGTTGCACAACATTTGCTTCCCTCCCCACTTTGCTCCTGTGTTGCCTTGCTCTAAGAGGAATGGACACAAGTTGTTGCTTTTGACCATGAAGATGCTGGACTAAGGTTACAGTTCAGCAGACAGAGCACTGAGCCTAGAGGCAAAGGCTTCACATCCTCACTCTGTCTCCTCTGGGACACAGGGAAAGCCTCTTCACCTCCTGGGCCTCAGTTTCCTCATCTATAAAGTGGAGAATTTAGACTTGACCTCCAAGGTCCCCTCCAGTTAAAGCTATGACCCTGATCTTTGGGACTTTATAAAGGGAAGAGACACCATGTTCACATGCTGGACTTCACATGCTGCACTGCACATGCCTTATGTTAAATAAGGTAAATGTAGTGTAGAGGGGATAGACAGCTGGCTGGGAGAACCTGGACTCAAGTGCCACCTCTCAAACATACTGGCCATGGGACTTTGGGCAAATCACTTAACTCTTCAATGCTCCAACCCACTGGAAGTACAAAGAAGGAGCTGACTTGCATGTGTGGAGGGAGTTTCCTCTTCTCACAGCAGTTATATAAATTCCTATTAACAGTTCAATTACTGGTCTAGTCCTAAACTTATCCATATATAAATTCAAATTGCATGAGTACACTTCAGACATGCATATGGATAGACAGAAATAAAAATGAACAGATTAATGCTAGTAGCAGCTGATGCTATAAAGGATCTTCAGGTAGGGGAAAAACCTCCAAAGCAAAAAATAAAATAAAATCACCTTCAAGATTTGATGATAACAACTAGTACACAGTGCTAAAGGCTTGTAAAGTGCTTTACATATATTTGCCTTTGATCCTAACAGTAATCCTGTGAGGTGGGTGTAAATATCCCTGTTTTACAGATAGGGAAACTGAAGCAGACAGTAGTGAAAAGGCTTACCCAGAGTCCCACAACTAGTCAAGTGTCTAGGTTGGAATTTCAACTCAGATCTAATTCCAAGTAAAGCACCTTAAGATCTTTTTGTTACTTTGTTCAGTGGAATTACAGGCCATAGCTAAATGAGTGCTTCCTAACCAATGGTTCTTCTCCTAGAAGGGCTTTTGCTTTCAGCACCTCCTTTTCCCTGCCTAGTTGCAGTCTTTTCCCATATAAGCCACTGCCAACCTGTAT